ACCTAAGGAGATGATATCCATATCCAGAGACTGGGAAGTTTGGTTTATAGACAAGAAACATGAACATTCGCTCCTCAACCTCATTTGCTTATAAATATGGTGCAAGTATTGCCTAGAATGGGATTTGCTCCACTGAACAAACTAGTGCCATTGTTTATTAAGCATGTATGGTGGCTGGAACCTTCCTTTGAAGCCAGTTGCAACAAAATCGATCTACCAAGCCATATAAACCAAATCGATCAAGGAGCAAAGCTCTCCAGCTCTTTACAAAGATGGATCTGGAACACCATCACCTTTGTCAACGCACTCGACACTTACACGAAGGTAGCATCGCTTAAAGTCGGGAGAGTTCTCGACTCCAGTTATGAGCAAGTGATCCCATGATACACCAACCCCAACAAAATGCAGGAGTTTGGGCAATGCTCATGTCTGTTTGGAGATTAATAATAGTTTATACAGAGATACAGGGCTATATATTGAACACTTAAATATTTTACTAAGAGCAAGACGTATACATTTAAAGGATACCTTTAAGAGTATTAAAGATGCCAGATAAAGGAGGATGTTTAGCAAGTTAAAAACAATTCAAATTTACATGGTGAGTATATGAGAATTTACAGAATAGTCACTTTAGAGGAGCTTGCTTGTTTAGCAAGGCTTTGAGCTTCGCTTTGATCTGAGCTATGGCAACGTGACGAGGACGCAGTCCGGAAGATTTCTTGAACCTCTTTGGAGCTATGATCATCGCATCACCGCTTTCTACACCTGAAAAAACGAGATACTCAGTCCCAAAAAATCAATCCCGATAGCCCACTCACCTTCGAGCGCTGCTTTGGTGTATACTGCAAGAGTGCATCCTTCTCCAGTGGACGTGGATGTAGAAACCGGGGTATAGAGTCCAGGCTGCCTCCTCTGCTTTGGTGTCTCAAACAATCCCTCCGCGTCCACCTTGGGCTTCTTCGTTGGAACCAGCTCTTGGAAAACAAACGTCTTCTCAACGTAGATCTCGCCATTGAGGACCCGCCTGGTGTACCGCTTCACCAGCATTTCCTTTGGGTCTGCTTGTCCAGGGATGGCCCTCCGCTTCTCTCGTCTCCTCGAGTACGTTAGAAGAGCTTTATGGGGCTTAAAATCCTGATAACCGGGAGCTGATAGTTCCGGATCGGCACTGCTGGTGGCACCTTCTTCGTTTCGATTCTCAGCTTGTGCCAGGGTTCCGTCCCCCGGCTTGAAACAAGTCCTCCTCCTCCTGGCTTTTTGCCGTATGCCTTTAGGAATCACCGCAGGCCACTTGAACGGAGCATTTTCGTGCGCCATCAGCTCTTCAGAAGCTTGTACTTGCTTCCGCATCGACTGGAGAAAAAAGTTACTTTTAAGCTCCATGGTTACATAAAACCTGGTGGAAAAGAACTGGCTGACCTCCCAATCCTTATAATTTAGCTGGAATATAGATTTCGTATCATCATCCTTCAGCGCAGCGTCAGTAGTACGTCTCGGAACTACACATACATGAGGTCAGTAAGCCATCTTTGCAATTCCCAGTGCATACCAATAATGTAGCTCTGATCACTGGCAAGCCTCACTTGTGCTAGGCCATCCTTCACCAAGACAGACAGCGTCAATATATTGGCAGCCGTTTCTGTGAAGGAATCCCTGTTGAGAACGAGCGGCTCGAGCTTGACACACTCTCTAGACTGCAAAACCTTGAGCATCTCGAGCTTCCGGGATTCTGACTTGTCCTCGGCGTCAACATCTGCGTCCTGCAAACGCCAGCTACATTAAGGCCCACAAAACGCAAGAGGTTACCTTGAAAACACTCCACTGTACCGCAGGCTTTGAGCTGCGCATGGACAGCAACGCTTTGGATCATAAAAAATCTCAGGCTCACAACTTTATGACTTACGGAGATGGAGAGCTTTCAGAGGTGTCTGCCGCATCATGGACGCTTGTGTTATGCTGGCATGACAAAGTGGAAATAATATGTACTGCATCCGGGTCACCTGTGTCATTTTTCCAAAATAATGAAGACCCAAAGTTAGAAGCATTGCCTTTTGCAAAATGAAAACAAAGCAGAAGAACAAACACAAGGATTATCTAGAAGAATTGCTGGCCGATGAAAGAACAAAAGAAGGCAAGCAAACGTTCCTTCTAGAAAAACAAGCACTACTTACAATCGGCATTCACAGAACAACCAAAAGCATAGACTACTCAAGCTAGAAAGTCGCAGGATCAGTTCAGCTTCTATGCTCCTATGCTTGCAAAGAAGCCAACAAGCAAATCTTTCTTCTAGAAACCAAGCACTACAATCGGCATTCACAAAACAAGCATAGAAAACCAAAAGCATAGCCTACGCAAGCATAGCAAACGCTTCTTCCAGGAGAAGAGACATTTCTTCGCGCAGTAACCAGCTCCTCTAGAGGAAAATTTCCTAAAACCCAGGCCATACCGTCAATCATTTTCTCCAGCGGTGCTCCTGAGCTCGATCCCATGGCGCCCGGCCAGCTCCCTAGACTCGCCTGGCAATCCCTCCTCGATTCCTCCAGGCGCGCTTCTTCCGCATGTGGATAAACCCTAGCTTTGCCCTCCGTACACGCTGGACAGCAACACATAGGATGCAGATCTCCGTGGCTCCAGCACGACGGAATATGCCGCCGCACATTCCGCCTGCCGCACGCCGCTGGATATCCTAGACGCCGCTAGCAGCGTCGTCCACGCCACGTCGTTTGGGATGTACGGCATTGTGAGGAGAAGATCCTCGGCATCTTGGAGCTGTCCGGACTTGCAAAGAATGGCCACCATGTATGAGTAGTGCTCCACTGTGGGAGCTAGATTCCAGGCATCTTGGAGAAGAATAAATTTTTTTCTACCAATGCTGGCTTTTCCAGCGTAGCTACAGGCATGAAACACGCTGGAGAACGTCTGCGCGTCGCAATATAGGCCATTGATTGCCAAGAGGGCCACTAGATCAAGGGCCAGGATCGAGTTTCCCGTCTGGGCATTTGTATTGATTATAGTGTTCCAAGAAATTGTGTCATGGTTGGGCATGGCTTTAAAGAGAATCGTGACATCGTGAAGATTCCCGAGCTGGGAATATGCCGCAAGCATTGTGTTCCACACTACTAGATTCTTCTCTGCCATGGAGTCGAAGATTCTTCTTGCTTCGTGAATATGCCCATTTTCAGCATATGCCAAGAGCATGGTAGTGTTTGATACTACATCATGGTGGCTAGGAATGTGATTGTAAATCCCTGCAGCATAGTCAATGTGACCATGCAAAGAAAATGCTCGAATCATTGCAGTAGAACACACTAAGTCGTGTTCCACTAATCTACCAAACAAGAAACACGCTCGCTCAAGCTCGTTGTTGCTAGCATAAGCTTCAATCATCGTTGTGAAAGACACTAGATCAGGATCTGGAATTCTGTCAAACATCATTTCGGCGTCTACAAATTTGCCACTTTGGGCATATGCTGCAAGCATGGTGTTCCATGAAACTATTGTCCGGTGAGGCATTTTTTCAAACATCTCCTTTGCTTCATGGAGGTTTCCATTTTGAGCATATGCCCTCAATAGGATATTCCAAGACACGGCGTTGTACTCAGGCATCTTGTCAAACAATGCTTTTGCTTTGTCGAGTTGATTGCTTTGAGCATATGAAGTTAACATTGAAGTGTATGCTATGAGATCAGGCTCAGGTATCATGTCAAACAATGCCTTGGCCTTTTCAACTTGAACGTTAGAGAAGGTTTGCAAGACAATTGTGCACACTAGAGAATCCCATTCAGGCAACCTGTTAAAAAACAAATTCCAACATTCCTCCAAATACCCGTGTTGGGCATATGCGGTGATCATACAAGTCCATGTTCGCAAACTGGGATTGATAATATTGTTAAAAATGAGCCTAGCGTCATGCAGTTTTCCAGCGTTTGAAACTTCACGTATTAAAATGTACCATGGTGAATGTTCTCTACAAGAGCTTTGATCCAAATTATTCAAAAAGTTTATGGCTTTTCTATGATATTTCTTCGAGGCGTAAGCAGAAACAAGAAAATCACATATCTCCTGGCTATGTTCCGGCATTTTGTTAAAAAGAGTTTCACATTCATCCAGATCAACCGGGGCATATGCTTGAATAATCGCCACCCAGGTGGATAGATCTCTCCAGTGCATCCGATCAAATAATTCTCTTGCCTTTTCAACTTGGAGCGATTTTCCAAGCGTCGCGATCAAAGTGTTGGATGATACAACGGAGTGTTCTGGCATCGCATCAAATAACTCTAAACCTTCCTTGACAAGACCTTTTTGGGCATATGCTTGGATCATAGAGTTCCATGAAATAGTGTCTCGCTGTGCCATTTTCTTAAACAAATCCTGGCACTCGCTAAGCTTCCCAGACTGAGAATAAGCCGCGATCATCGCCGTCCACATCACCACATTAGAACAAGGGCTCTGATCAAACAACACTCGCGCAGCTACAACATCACCACTTTGGGCATATGCGGTTATCAAAGTTGTCCAGGACACAGCATCTCTCTCCGGCATCTTTTCGAAGAGATTCTGTGCTTCTGTAAGATTCCCATTCTCAACGCACACTCTGATCATAAGATTCCAAGAAAAAACATTTCGATCAGAGATCTTTCGAAAGGTTTCTTGGGCATCCTCAAGACTCCGGCACTTACCGTACATCTCCACCAAAAGATTCGCTAGATACCGGCTCTGAGAGTAAGAGCTACTGAGAACTAGGCTATGGATTCTCTTCCCTGCGCACAAATCTCTGGAGTTTCCACAAGATCGTATTCTCCCCGCGAGAGAATCTTCTTCCTCTCTCGCGTTTGGCAGCGCCGTGCCAATTGCCGCCATTGTTTAAAGCTTTCAACGGCCAGGATGGCCTATACCCACGGTTACGATGGAAAACAATCGCGACCTTTCATCTCGTTGCGCCTTTTGATTCAAAAGTGGAGCCCGTAACCCCCGCCGTTGGATCTTATTGCTGTTTATTTTCCACTCCCCGGGGCCATTTTTAGGGTTTGCATCGCGCGAGGGTTTTTGGCTGGGCGAGATGTCGGTTCAGGAGTACCTGGAGAAGCACAAGCTCTCCCAGAGGATCGAGGATGCTGTGAATGCTGCCGTGCGTGCCAAGTCGCCAGATCCAGTGCTCCACATTGTAAGTTTTTCTCGCGATCGCTCAAGATTTTGAAACCCCCTCTCTTTTTCGCGCAGTCGCGTCATCTACTGAAAGCTACTGCTGCCGCGATCACCAAGGTCAGAGCCAGGCAAATCTATGACAGCAGAGGCAATCCTACGGTGGAGGTGGATCTTTACACCAACAAGGGCATGTTTCGTGCTGCTGTTCCTAGTGGAGCTTCGACTGGAATGTAAGTTCATCAAATTCAGTTCCTTTAGTGTTCGTGACAGTGGAGAATTTGTCTCAGCTATGAGGCAGTGGAGCTCCGCGATGGTGACAAGGAGAAGTACATGGGAAAGGGTGTGCTCAAAGCAGTCCAAAACGTTAACGAAAGGATATCGGCTGTGTTGGTTGGAATGGATCCAACGAAGCAGGAAGAGCTCGATGCAGCTATGATGAAACTAGACGGCACAGATAACAAGGTTTCTCTATTTCTCTTTTCCTTGCATCGTTTTTCTCATGCTGAATCTTTTGTGCAAAGGGGGAGCTTGGTGCCAATGCAATCTTAGCTGTTTCGTTGGCGGCCTGCAAAGCTGGTGCGGCCGAAAAGGAGGTACGTTATACCGGAATAAAGGCTCGTTTCCGTAACATTTTGGATTCTCTAGATTCCATTATATCAACACATCGCCGATCTGGGAGGCAATCAAAAGCTGGTGCTGCCTGTTCCAGCCTTTAACATTATTAACGGTGGAAGTCATGCCGGAAACAAGCTTGCAATGCAGGTAAATATATGTTTTTTCCTAGGGGGTTTTGGTTTCTTACGCTTGACGGCAGGAATTTATGATTTTGCCTGTTGGAGCCGAGACGTTTGCGGAAGCCATGCGTATGGGATCTGAAGTTTACCATCATTTGAAGGTGCGATTTTTCGTGGTGTAGTTTGTCTCGTGCTCACAACTGTCTTCTACAGAACGTTATCAAAGCCAAATATGGGATAGATGCGTGCAATGTTGGTGACGAAGGAGGGTTTGCTCCAAATATTACCAGGCAAGATTTTGTGCTCTTGTTTTCAGCTGAACCTTTTTCTTTTTTCCCTTTTCTTTGACAGTTCCAAGGAAGGACTGGATTTGATTAAAGAGGCCATTGAAAAGGCTGGATTCACGGGAAAGATAAAGATTGGAATGGACGTAGCTGCTAGCGAGTTTCATACTTGTAAGGGGTTTGACAAAGTTTTAATCAAGCTAATCTTCTCTTCCATGATGACCAGCCGATCATCAGTACGATCTCGATTTCAAGACACCTAACAATTCTGGAGCGGAGAAGAGAACTGGAGCTCAAATGATTGACATGTACAAAGAGTTCTGTACAGGTTTGTTATTCATGTTTTCCCCAGTATTATAATTCTGTTCTTTTGTTTCTGCAGAGTACCCTGTGATCTCGATTGAGGATCCCTTTGATCAAGATGACTGGGAGAACACAAAGACACTAACGGGCCTGAATATCTGCCAGGTAAAATTTCGCCACTAGAGATACGAAATTTTACGTGCCGTGGACCAGGTTGTTGGCGACGATCTGCTCGTGACGAATCCCAAGCGTGTTGCCAAAGCGATCGAGGACAAAACGTGCAATGCGTTACTTCTTAAAGTACGTGTTCCCTTCTTTCTTTAAGCGCAGCCGAGGACCAAATCTGATCTCTTGTGTATTGTGTAGGTGAACCAAATCGGAACAGTCACGGAGTCGATTCAGGCCGTGAACATGGCAAAGGCAGCCTCATGGGGAGTGATGGCTTCTCACAGAAGTGGCGAGACTGAAGACTCTTTCATTGCGGATTTAGCGGTTGGCTTGAGCACTGGACAAATCAAAACGGGAGCTCCTTGCAGAAGCGAGCGTCTCGCGAAGTATAACCAGGTAGAGATATATCTCTTAGAAAAGCTTCAAGCTGTGTTGATTTTTCTCTTCCTTTTCAGCTTATGCGGATTGAGGAAGAACTGGGTCCCAAAGCTGTATACGCCGGCGCCAACTGGAGGCCAAACGCTCCCCCTCTTTAGAACAGGTTAGATGAGTAGGACTACATATATTTCCATCGGCTTGGCTCCAGGTATATCCCGCGCAAATAAAAAAGCTTTGAGGCTTGGTATGACTAACGTCATACTCGCTCTACTTCCAAATTCTTGGTACTGCCTACTCATGAACATGGTGTGCTACATTGGTCAACTTGGTTTCGTGTCTTCTAGTGCATGCTACAGAAGAAAAACCAGCTCCTGAATATGAAATGGTACCTTTCTTTACTTTTCTATGATTGTCTATGTTGTTGAAAGCTTGACATTCCTCTTGTAGGTGCTGGCAAGGCTTCCACAAGTGGCCCACGCTGTTCCGGTTAGAAAACTCTTATATCTGCCTAGAAGAAGTGACTTCGGACCCTTTCTCGGCTCGATGGAGGAATGAGTAGCCTGGACGAAGGCTGCTGATGCAGGTGCATGCGCTTTTCTTTGTTATTGAATTATCTGACTTGGATTTCTCAGCCTCCGATGGAGCTGACAAAAGGTTTTTCAACTCGGGACTCGAGAACTTAACAGTACGAAAGGGTGGGCGCTGGAACGAGAAACAAAGAGGAAAAGAAAAGTAAAAAGAAAAGGTGACACGCATCCTATGTGAGTGATTTCTCTCCCTCTTTTGCATTTTATGTGGAAGTAAAACCTCCACCAGCGTGGCATGATGTGGATCGTGAGCGTGATATTCATTAGGCAGGCCCAGGAAGGACAGCGACTCATTTCCGGTCTTTTGTTGGCCTTTTTTTCTTAAATGGTTGAGTCGACGGACTGCTTGGGTGGTGTTGTTGGCCTGCCTGTGACTGCTTGTGTCTATCTGACTTACCTTTGGGGTCTTTTTCCAGAGCTCTCAATCAGCATTCACACGTCCAGACGAAAGAAGAAGGCCACAGGTCGGGTCTTTGATTTATGTGGCTTTGTCGATTGCTCTAAACATGTATTCCCTGCTTACAGAAGAAAGCACTGCGTTTGGATCATCCGCCCTGTGCGTGGATCCAACTCCGTAATGACGACTTTAAAGCTGAGGTGAGATCGTCGTCTCGCTCAGGTATTTTGTTTCAAGAAGAAGAAAAGGTACTTAATTCCAGCGGTCTCTCGCTTTTGAAGGTACAAAACGAAATTTCTTCGCACGGCTGTACACCTTGTCCTCTCTGTGGGGCGTATTGAATTGGAAGCTAGCTCCACACAAACAGTGCCGCTGCCTTGGAAGAAAAATATCGCGGGGCCTTCCTCCAAACAGGTTCGCGTCCCCTCCATTTTAAAACCCTCAAAACCAGCAGGGATCGAGACGATGATCGAGGAAAGATTATTCCCCATCATTTGAGCAACCAACATGCACGTAAGATCCAAGAACTTTTTCTTTTTTTTCCTCTCTCTCGGTTTGCCGAGGTTTTTGTAATGTGTGATTGTGTGCTACAGAGCGAGCAAGCCACTATCTCGATTTTGGTGTTGGTGATGGGTGTGCTGCTCGTTTTGCTCCTTCGCGTGACAAGAACGATTGGAGTTGGATTGGATGGATTGATGCGCGTGTTCTTGCTTAGCGAGGACGCAAAGAAATCCCACCTGGGAATTAAACGGCCAGTGTGGGGATTTAAAGGTTCTTGGTGATTTTAGAGGCTTCGTTTATTGCTTCCCAGATTCCTCTGTTAGAGAGCTCATAAATACCGAGGGAGTGCTGTACAGTTTGGGCCACTGGCGCGCGATTGACTTATCCCTGCCGTACACTTCATTCTCGTGCGGTGAAGAAACCCTGGCCCGTCATTGCCTTATTTGCATTAGTTTTATGCGTTCGCGCGATTCGGAGGAGCGGCTATGGCGCTGGCGGGCGGGGCACGGCCAAAGGCGCTAGGGTTTTGCTCGCGATGGGAAATTTCAGTCGAGCAGCGCGTAGGAGCATCGAAATCTCTCTCGCGCGCTCTCTCGGGGAAGCAGGAATAGGTCTGGCCTCTCCAGGGGCGATTATCGAGCTGTGCGTTGCGCGCGTGGTGATCTAGGCGGCTCGCAAGGGAGTGTTTTGCTAGAGGGGGGCAGGAAATGCTCTGGACGATCGGAGCAGCACGATGAAATCTGGTAGATTATCTCTCTGTGCGCTGGGATTTCCCGAAATATTCATGGCTGTGCTTTGTCTGTGCAGCGCGGAGGGCGAGAATCAATGCTCCATCGTCTGGCCACAGCGAGGGGAGTTACGGAAAAATCGCGTCCTCGGGTGAGTGAGCGCTAGAAGCTCTGCGATTTCTTCGATTCTTTTTTCTAAGCGATTGCGTGGCCTCCACAGTGAAGTACTCTGGGCTCAAAGATTTTGCTAAACGCTTCGTGGATTGCGACGAGTTCACCTCCCACGCGCAAGAATGGCTGTTAGGTAAGCTCGGGAATCCGGAAGATCAGTTCAAAGAGCCTTTCCAGCTTGACGAGCTCAAGCAGCTGGACTATGCGCTGGAAGGAGTGATCTTCCAGCAGCTCCTACGAATGCCGTACTGGCAGCGTGGCCTCTCGGGGAACATCGCCGCGGAGATAAACCTCGCGGTGGAGGATTTCCTCCACACCATAGCTCAGACGCTATGGGAGACGCTGTGGAGCTCGGAGGACCGGATGCCATTCTTCGTCACAGGGCCTCGGGGGAAGAGGAGCTACTTGGACGGTGTGGCTCTGGTTGGGAAAAGTGGCAGGGGGATGAACACAGTGTGGGAGCACATAGTGGAATTCGTGGAGGTCCAGCCAGAGATTGGAGGAGACGCTGGGTTTGCCGTGAGCTCCATCGTTGGTCGCTCGCTCTTCCATGGGATTCATATGCTCATGTCGAGGCTCTACTCCGAGAAGAAGCCGTCGGTGAGAAAGCACACGGACACGGCCTACGTCTTGTTCGTGGATTCCAAGTGCGGTGGGGTGATGAGACTACGTGGGGATATCTCGAAGCTGGATACCAAGGCAGGACTAACTTATGAGGTTGCGACGGACTGGCTCGAGCAGCATGCAGACGTAGCGGTCTCTTCGGTCGAGCAGGTATGGAACAGGTTTGGCAACGCTAACTGGGGGGACTTGGGGGCCTTGCAGCTCATTCTGGCGACTTTACATTGTATCGAGCAATGTAGAGGGTCGCCGAAGAGATCGCTGGCCGAGTTGGCGAGCGACCACGGGTCGCGGCTGCACAGGCGGAAGATCGAGCGGCGGTTTCTGGAAATCCAGGAGAATGGAATAGACCATTCTTACCGGCAAGAAGTTACGAGCCATGAGATACAGGAGATCGAGGAGATCGAAGCACAGGAGATTATACGCGAGTTTGAAGCACTGAAGCTGGAGCCGGGGTCGACGCTGTGGCTGGAGGATGCCCAATGGCAACGCGGCTGTGGCTTTCGGATAGTAAGCAGCCTAGGAGACGAGAAGTACTCGATGTACAGCGCAACCTCCCTGGACGAAGGTGACAAGCTACTGTCCGTGTACGTTGGAGCGCATCCCTCTCAGCTGGAGCCGTCGTGGGAGGACATGACGACGTGGTATCAAGTCCAGCGGCAGACCAGAATTCTCAACACCATGAGCCAGAGGGGAGTCTCCAGCAGGTACTTGCCGCAGCTCGTATCGTCCGGCCGAATCCTCCACTCGGGCTCCTGCTCCAAACAGAGTCCTGGCGGCCGTTGCGATCATCCGTCGTGTGGGATCTCGGTGCTGGTCACGTCTCCAGTTGGGGAGCCGCTGGACATAGTGGTGGCCAAGCACGGCTGGCTCTCGCCGGTGGAAGCTCTCAGGTGCTGCCACGATTTGCTCTCGGCGCTGCGCAGCGCTGGGTCCGCGGGGATCCAGCACGGGGATATCAGCCCCCAGCGAGTGATCCGGGTGAAAGGTGATGGAGACTACTTCTACGTTCTCATCGACTGGGGCCGGGCAGTGCTGGAAGACCGGGACAGTCCCGCGATATCTCCTCGCTACTCGTCGACTTACGCGCTCCAGGAGGGGAAGCTGTGCCCGGCCGCCGACGCCGAGAGCCTCGTCTATCTGCTCTACTTCCTCGTCGGTGGGAGTATGCCGGAGTTTGAGAGCTTGGAGGCCGCGCTCCAGTGGAGAGAGCGGGCTTGGGCTTTGAGAACTTTCCAGCTCTTGCTCGGGGAGATCTCGACGGTGCTCAAGGCCTATGCGGACTACATCGATAGCTTGATCGGGACTCCATACCCGGCGGACTATGATATCTGGTTGAGGAGAATAAGCAGGGCGTTTCAATCGTCCTCCGATCAGGACAACCATGGCAAGAGGATTCAATACATTGAAGGCTCCGGGGGTGTGATCAAGCCGGTGGATTACAACACTGGTGAATCGTCCGGGACGTCGGGAACTTCGTGACAGTCGAGAGACAAAAGATCACGCTGCGAAGTTATTTTGGCTCGATCATCCAAGGCGTAAGTGGATGTTCCTTGGCACGAAGAACACACGGTAAGGAAAGTGAGTCCACAGGACTCTAGAGGAAGAACGATCTTTCCAAACAGATTCTTTCACTGCTTAAAGTTTTTATGCGATCAAAAGGTTTTTTAATCTGTAAGTTCTTTTTTGCATTGCAATCCAAAAAGGTATATAAATTCCTTAATGTGCTTTGATCGCCGCCGTCCAGTCACTACCGTCCAACCGCTACCGTTGGATGGTCAATAAATCGCTGGTTTGGAGCTAGGGTTCCAGGACATCCTTTTTTACAATGGCCATGATCAAGAGCATCGAGAAGTGCGTGTCAAAGTATGAATCACTGCCTGAGAAGAAGAAGAGTGGCGCGCTCAAGCAGGGCAGAGCAATGGTGAAAGAGTTTGTGTTCCAAGTGGCACACATCGAGGGCGAAGGGCTCAACACACTCCAAGAGGTCAGCGATGCCATTAACCAGTACGACCAGACAAAGTCCTTCGCGCTTGACGGCTTTGGCGGTGACAAAAAACCAAAGCTCATGTCAACGCTCAACCTTTACAAATGCCTGTGCTGGGTCAACGCTCTGACTAAGGCCGAGAAAGTTCCACGCCTAGATTTCGAAAAGATTCTCCAGATCCATAAGATGCTTGGGGAGAATACCAAGGACGAGGCCGACGCGGGGGAGTTCCGGAGGGGCGAGGCCTGGACATTGACCACAGAGAAACGCAAGCATGTCTACATGGATCCTAAGAAGATCCCGGCGGCTCTCGAGCAGCTACTGTCATCTACCAACAAATCCCTCGAGGAGGCATTTGCAGCAGATCCCAAGCTCAGGGTTGCAAAGGTGGTGAGCATCAGCGCTGCCTTCTTTTACAAGTTTGAGAGTGTCCACCCGTTCAGGGATGGGAATGGACGTGTGGGCAGGCTTTTGGTGGCCTACTTGCTTGCCTCCATCGTTCCCTGGGGTGCCAACAATCTCTATGCGCCCCTTGGCGGCGATGACGTTTTCAATCCCTGGGATCCTCCAAGGTTTGTGGACAAGAGTGTGTACCTTAAGTGCTTCCAAGTGATGCAACAAAGGAAGAACAAGAGTGGCGAGCATCCGGTGGAACTGGAGGCGCTCTTGGTCCAAGGGATTCACATTGGCTGGACAAAGTTCCTCAAGTGTTTATAAACTTCTGATGAATTCCTAATGTATCAAATACATCGCCAAGCGACATTAATGGGGAAAAATATGTACTTAGTACTGTTTTGTTCGTGAATAAAATTTACAATGCACATCTCTGACTCTCATGAGTAAATAAGGATTAAATCTAAAACTTCCTTGATCTAACGTTAGTAGCAATCTGGGACATGTTATGGAAACAAACTTCCGTGGATCATACTCCTTTATTCCTCTAGAAGAGGAGATCTGAACAAGCACTCCCACAGTATGGTCACATAAACTGGAAGAAGATCTTGGAGCTGTAAGGCTCGAGAGAATGCGTTCTCAGCCTCCCATCCCAGAGCGTGGTTCTGGTCCATGATGCGTCCATCTAGCCCAACACCAGGAGGCTGATGTTGCTGATAGAAGCAAACACTACTCTTCCCACGAGCTTGGAGCCGATCGAGGGGGTTTGTGTCAGCTTGTCTGGACACCATTCCAAACATGGTGGTGTTGATCGTGCCTGGAAGTGGCGACATTCACTCGGGCGTTAGGAGGAAGAGTAAGTGTGTATGCAATTATAAAAGCTTATGTCTCCTGGGACAATACTTCAAGCAATGATATGAAGACAAACCATCTGAGGTAAGACTTTGTGTGTATATCGACTCATTCTAAGTCATGGAAACAGCAAAATTCATTACGACTTTGCTCATCCAGACAACTTACTTGTCAACCCTCTCGCCTCATGCTTAGCTGGGAGAATAAATGCATGAAACCGACTATACAATGATATAACATATACTATAGGCAAGACGGAACCTACATGAGGACTATTAGTACCGTCATGCCCAATTAGATTCATGTGAGCATTGTATCCCTCTTTATAGGGGACTAGGGACATGGAGAGTTGAGCATAATTTATTGTTGTATGTTTTGTGAAACATCTAGTGATTCCTTGATCAATCGTGGAGCAAGTTACTGCTGATTGCAATGTACTCTGCAAAAGACTCAGAGGACACCATAGAAATAGACAAACAAAGTCTTCCACATGGCAACCATAGCACCGGCCTTTCAGTATTGTATTACAGATCAGGCTGTGCCTATCTACATTGAAAAGGAAACGTAAGATGGTCTCGGTTGGGGTGGGCTCGCAAAAGCTCATGAACCACACGGCGATCTTGGAAAGACTCTGCATGGTAGAAATGGCTGACAGAAATCTGGTCTGGGATGGCGTCTGGCATCCACCAAGTCACTGCATGTGTGCCAGCTCGAGTCGGGATGCATTTGCCACCGTCCTTTCATATTGCTTGGTTAATGCAAGCAGCAAGACTTTGCCGTTTGGTTTGGTCGGATGCGAATTTCACACTTTGGAATTTTTCGAAACAAGAGCCTTGCCTGATGTCAGATGAAGTTCTCCTATAAGAGCAGTCGTCTTAATCGGCCAAACACCACACGGATGGATCTAGCACTTGCTGTCAGCTTTGGAATTTTCATCGCTCTCTGGGGCTTGTGGCTCTTGAAAGCTCGTTCAAATCTTCCACCAAGTCCATGGGGATTGCCCCTGATTGGCCACTTACACTTGCTAGCAGGAATGCCCCCGCACAAAGCATTGCAACGCATGGCCAACAAGTATGGTCCTATTATTTCCTTGAGGTTGGGAATGATCCCAACTGTGGTGATCTCCAGCCCAGAGCTTGCCAAGGAGGTGTTCACCACACATGATCTAAATTTTGCTTCCAGGCCGTACATGGTTTTCGGCGAGTATTTCAGTTATAGCTCTGTTGGACTTGTAAGTAGTCCCCATGGAAAGCTATGGCGAAACACCCGCAAGCTGTGTACAACGGAGCTCTTCACGGCCCAGCGTATCGACTCTTTCTCTTGGGTCAGAAGGGAGGAGCTCTCGCGTGCGTTGGAGGGGATTTTGAAGGCTCATGGCAATGACAAGCCTGTGGAGGTGAGAAAAGTGGCCAGTGTTTTCGCCTTCAACATCACATCACGAATTGTGATGAGCAAGAGGTACTTTGGTGACGAAAACGTGGATGCCGATGCCATGGAATTCAAGGAGCTCAATGACAATGTTCTTGAGCTGACCATCAATCCCTGTCTTAGCAACTTGGTGCCCTGGTACCTGAGATGGCTGGACTGGCAGATCCCTCGGTACAAGCGAATCCATGCCAAGCAAGACAAGTTCTTGCAAAAGATCGTTGACGAGCACAAGGAGACAACACGGAAATGCAAGGATTTCCTTGATATCATGCTTGACTTCTTTGGAGCAGGGACACAAGGGGAGACATATGTGAAGGCAAACCTCATGGTAACCCGTGCAAAACTTTTCCATATTGCTGCTAACAGGTATTTCTATGACAAATGCAGGAGATGTTAATTGGTGGAACTGATACCACCAGCACTGCAAGTGAGTGGCTCATTGCTGTATTGATGCACGATCCTCGAGTCATGGCCAAGCTCCGCGAGGAGCTCGACAGGGTTGTGGGCAACACTCGGATGGTGCAAGAGTCGGACCTCCCAAAGCTCGAATATCTCCAGCTCGTGCTCAAGGAGACATTGAGACGCTATCCTCCGGGTGCCATAATTATGCCGCACATCTCAAGCCAAGCATCCAACGTTGGCGGCTTTCACGTTCCAAAAGGGACCACTCTCCTGGTGAATTCATGGGCGATTGGAATGGCTCCGGCAGTATGGGAGAATCCCACACAATTCCACCCGGAGCGCTTCTTGGGGAGCTCCATCGACGTCAAAGGCCAAAACTTTGAGCTCCTCCCGTTTGGATCCGGCCGTAGAAAGTGTCCAGGAATGGCCATGGGATTGCGAGCAGTGGAGCTTCTCGTGGCGAATCTTATCCATGGATTCGACTGGAGCTTTGTGCCCGGGACAACGCCGTCCATGGAAGATGTTTTTCGCAGTGCTATTCAGCTCAAGATCCCATTGCAAGCCATGGCAAGTCCAAGGTTCCCAAAGGATGTCTACATCAATCAGACATCACATCTTTAGTCACCATGGACTTCGCTACAAATAAATTCTACTCAATGCTGGCTAGACTTGCGTCTCTCCCACTCCACAATGTAATATATAGATCGGAGAAATCTTGGTTGTCCCAGCAATATATACATTGTCAGATCCAAATTCCAAGGAGAGTGGAGAACCGCCATTTGAAGGTCTAGTGTAGCCTCGGTCCTGACAAGACGATCTTTCCAACCACGCAAAAGTTTTAATCGTGCATTTCTAGTCACCTTGTATCCCCTTTGCCCAGCTGCCAAACGTTCTATTCATCAATTTCCGGTCAAGGAGGTCAAAATTTGGTCGTCCTTGAAAAAAAGAGAACGGTAAAGAGACAAATATTGGAAAATCTACCTCCGACTGAGAACATTCTAGGTGTCCAGTTTGCCTTGGGTTCGTCCCAGGCACGTCTTGCAGTGGCTCCAGGGCTGCTGATTGTCTCCAGGTCCCTGCTCTCTGCCACAGCCTTGTGGAGCAGCATCCAGCTTCCATTTTGGAGCTTCCAGCAGAGTAAGATGGCGTGGCGTGCGTGAGATGAGTGAGTGGAATTGAGTATTTGAAATTGAAACAATTATTTCTATTTAACAATTCTACTAAACTCATTCCAAGATTAATCTAACTCTTTTCTCAAATGAAAAAAATTGATTTTATAGTTGATAAAATTTAAAAATATTATAATTTTAAAAAGGTTAATTTGTATCAGTGCTTAATACGTTTTTAAGGGCTAAAAAATGAAATAAGAAAACAATCATTAAACATTTTATGAACCCTTAATTGCCACTGATCTCATTTATATTATTGGATTAATTGTTGTACCATTAAGCTGAGGCTAGAAACAAAGCTGGCATCATAGATGACCTTCAAGCAGCAGCAATGGGAAATTGAGAAGTCAATCATGCATAAAAATGTTTTTGTTTTAAGCATCATATCACCTCCACAGAGCCATTAAGCTTTATAAACTCTAAATAAAGCCAAAGCTTACAATGTACAATAAGTCTGAGAAAGCAAGAGGAAATCACTACCAATTACATCTT